TACCTACTATAAATCGACAAAAATGAAACTACAGAGGCCAACGTTTTTATTACTTTTTTAAGATGCCAAGTGACGGAGCATACAAATCGTGCACTTGGTGGTAAGCGACACGCCTGTCCATTGCAGACACAGTGCCACTCAGAGCTGTAAATCACAAAGGTTTTGAGGGACACTACCACTGCGCCCGTCCCCCTGAGATATAAGTTGACAAGTCCCATGTGCCTGTAATTTCACCAGCACCCTTACGCCTCAAAACCGGAACGCAGTATTGCTCACATTACTGCAAAAATATTATGCTGCTCTTGAAACTTTTTTTTTAAATCTTACAACTTATTTATTTATGGACTTTTGTTGGATCATTATGGAACATCAATTAGAAAAACCTCATTAGAAAAACAAGACACTAAAAAAGTACTTAATAGAATACAAACAGGTAAATCAAAATACTACCTAACCCACAAGTATACAAAATCTTCGCGACACTACACACGTCGCCTGGCTCAGAGAAAACGGATTTCTTGAAAAGTATATAAATAATATGTATATATAGCTAACAGCTGAAAAGGTACCTGGCAGAGCGAAGAAAAAGTTTCATAGATTTCTCACAGATGGCGCTACAATAAAAGACGTCGTTAACAACAAAGATGTAACAAGCACATAGAAATATTCGTAAGACCTACTGGTTCGTTCCATAGCTCAGCTGGGAGAGCGTCATACACGGTCTATGCTGATTACACTGATTTGAATCCAAGGGGATCGAAGGAATTTTTCTTAGCATTCCATCTTTGTATTGATATTTAAAATATATACATGTAAAACAGAAAAGATTTATTTCATCTACCTACGTAATAAGCAACTAAAGTTTAAACACATTATTTCCTAATGAATTGCGGTAGGGTAACATGTGACCCACATTCAAGAATATGTGCCGGAAGTCTTGTATTCAGATGTATGCTTTCGTGTATTCAAGTACTTCTTTATAAAGACGTCGTCGAAATCGCCTCTTTCATTGGAAGAGACTTGTACCTAAATTAATACAGTTTTCTGCAAGGGTTACATATATTCTTAACACGACAATCCCCCGTTAAAACAATTAAACAATTTTCTATGCCGTCAATTTGTATGGCAAGTAAAAAAACTGAGTTCGTAACATCTGAACCCGGGGTCGGTTTAAAGGTGCAACGGAACCCGAACGAGCCCATGACAATGAAGAACAAAAAATAATATTATGATAAATTGTAAATAAATCTTTATTATTTTATATTATAAAGTTATACTATTGTAATTTAATTAACACACTTTCTTAATATATATTTGATAGTGAACAATTTTACGTGACTTAATAAGTTAAACTTCGGCCTACCTCTGCTCTTACTGTTATCTCTAATACAGGGTTCATATGTGTATATCATTATTTTAATTTTAAGACATGTACACCATATGAATACATAAAATATATTGCGTATTGAGTAAAATTATCTTAATTTTAAGATAGAATGCCTACCTAATGCTGATACATAAAATAAAAATTCTTAGTACGATAAACTACAAAAAATTCGGTGCCTATTACAAGAACTGTAAACATATTACTTTTTTAATTCATTGACATGTACTTCTTTAACAATACAATATGAAAGCACCCGTACTTATATTATAATTAACTACACTTCTGAAGAAGAACGCTAATAAAGAGATGGATTCAACTGTATAGGTACTTGTGATGAAAACATTTATATTTATATTTACAATTTTTTGTAGCAATAGAATTCCTTGAGAAGAAATTCGTCTAGGGAAGTACTGCCACCTTGCCTATTTATGCTGCCAAGCAGTGTAACGTCAGCATTACTGATTTCCGTTTTTGAAGGGTAAGGTTGCTGGTGAAATTACAGGCACATGGGACTTATCAACTTATGTCTCAGGGTGACGGGTGCAGTGGCAGTACCTCTAAGATCTTTGTGATTTGAAGCTCTGAGTGGCACTGCAACTGTTATGGATAGGCGTGTCGCTCGCCACCAGGTGCACGACTTGTTCGTCCCGTCACTTGGTATTATAAAAAAAATATGGGTAATTTTGAGGTAACTTTTCTCTAGCTAATTTCGGTGGCAATTTTTATTATTTAAGTATTCGAGTCGTAAAATATTAAATAATATTTCAGGATACTATATTCGAATATTAAGTAATAAATACTTCATAATAATATTCTAAAATATTTAAATAATAAAAATTACCACCGAAATTAAATAGAGAAAACTAAACAATGTACCAGAAAGCTTAATTTCAAAAAAGAATACTTCAATTGTCGTTTGATATCGATTAAACGTAATTCATATAAACATTATTATCATAATCCCAGCTTTTCTTAGCGTTCCTCTAAATATTAATCATATGTTACGCAGAAAAAGAATCAAATTATATTATAAAAAACAAACGACCGTCACAAACATGTAAATTAAAACTCATTTTGCCTATCAATATCCAACATCTTGACAGACGTATCGACTGAAGCATTGACGCGAAGGGCGTCCACCCTAAGAAAGGGGGAAAGTGGGGGAGAGACCGTAAATATGATTATCAAGGGGAGGCGACGTGGACTAATCATATTCTGTGCAATTTACATAAATATTAGCGTGTTCCGTGACACACGACCACCGTCATTAAAAGAACGGACGGTGAAGCCACAGTCTTGTCGGTAATGACGGTAAGGGGCACGCTGTATATCTCGGCTATGGTGACAGTTTTACACTACTGTGCCCTCTAGCGCCATTTTGAAACGATACAGTATTTCGTAACAAATTAAAAAAAGACCCATAGCCCGTACACGCCTATGCAAGCTAAACATGACTTTGTACACATATTGTATCTTTATTTGAAACTTTTCTGAAAAATTTTATTTTACAATTAATTATATTCTTGTATGTCTTATGGGAATGAAAAAAGGCAAAAGTACTTATACCAAGATTGTGACAAGTAGAGAATTGTGGCCTCTGTCCGCCTCAGTAGGAGTCATGACAATGTGCACGTACTATCAGCAAACTCGACGCGTCCCACTTTAAGGGTTCTTTCCGTGCAGGCAACGAGGTGGTCAGTAACGACCACCCGCAGCTTGCTTATTCTCGTCCATCATGGCATTGAACTAGACCATTTTTGCTTGGTAAAATTTGAAGTAATGGACTTCATTTTTAAAGCAATATAAACAAAACTTTTTCAAAATATAAGGTCAGCAGAATAAGAGGCGCGGCTTCTCAGCTTGCAAACAAAAATGTATTGAAACTGGGACTGCGTCGAGTTTGTTGTTAGTGCCAATTTATATTATTAAATATCATTATACAACAATGATAACGTACTGATACATTAGTAACAACTTCCACAAGTACCAAACACAAAAACAATTCAAGTTTGGTTGACCTACAAGTAACGCACATGATAATATTGTCGTAACTCAAATTGGGGACATGAGAAAACACGATATGAAATATAAAAAAGAATATTGAATGGATCTTATTGGGAATAATGAAATTATTTTTATTTGTACATAATATTTAATTAACCATTTATAAACGAGAATATATATTTATTGGTTTCAAACGGTAATTTTTTGACCTTACAAATCGTGTCTTCTCAATCTCACAATTGAGTTTCATGGGCGATTATGGACAGCACGTTTCAATCATCACTCCCAATGA